GTAGATACTCTCTACATATCTATTTATAACAAACTTGCAATATTCTCGGAAAATTTAAGTGATTTTGATTTCTGTTTTTTTAAATCATTATGGAATCTTACAAGCTTTATAATTTTTAATTACCTTACACATACGTTTATACTTAATACTCTTTAAATATGATCCGCCTATTTTAAACACAGATTTAAAGAGAAAATATTTTTCCAAACATTTTGATATGCGTACGATAAAACTAACACCGGTATTGACTATTGTTTATGAGGTTTAGAACAGTTTAACATTTAGACAGAAGATGTAGGAAAGAGTAACAGACTTCTCAGAGTACCTAACAATAATAAACTATTATAAAATAATTTAAAATATTATTCTCAGTGTTCTGACGTTTTTCGATTCTAACGACAAACGTAATTGTGGCGACGAGACCATCGACGACGGTTTTAGCGAATCAACACGTCTAGTAATATTGTTTTTGCTTTTTAGCACGACTTTTTTTATCTCTATTTTTCATTGTTTTTTTTTTTTTTAGTTGAAAATGTTAAAACGCGTTTTGGATATAATATTCGTATTGCTTTATATTATATTTAATTGGCGCGTAATATATAATATATAACGAAACCGATTAAAGAAAACAAATTCTTGGTTCCGATTTTCAATTAAAATTTCGATATTGAGCGAATCACACGTTAATTTAATTCGGGGCGTTATGTACCTATGTTAGTGAAGAATTCATGACATAGTATTATGATTTATTACCGAATCCCGTAACCATCAGCCCATATTACAATACAGTATCCATGATTTGTAAGATTTTTACCGTCCGATAATGCCGGCTGCAGAGCTGGACACATAGTATACGGTTATCGCTACTAAAATTTCTTTTTTTTAAAAAAAATAAATATTCGAAATTTTGGTCCTGTGATCTCAACAGTTCAAAAAAAAAAAAAAAAAAAAAAACAAATAATAATAACATATAATATATATATATATATATATATATATATATATATTTATATATTTTTTTTTTCAATAATATTTTCGAGCACTCGTGAATTTTTCAATTAATAATAATAAAAGTAACATAATATTGTTTTGCCGCATCATGATTCGTTGTAATCAAATTAACCTAAGAAAAAAAAGTTGATAAGTGTGTCTCTATTTAGGAGGCAAGTTAAAAGCGAAGATAAATAGAGTAATGTATAATGTATATCTGTATGCAACAATAAACCATTATTAACAAAAAATAAATCTGATCAGAGTATCACCCAAAAATTAACAAAAATTATACGAAACTCCCATTCGTTCCCATTTTATAAGAAAACAACAAGAAAATCAATGCACCAACTCAATTGAAAATTTCGCAAGATAGTTCTTGTAAAGTTTTTGATTGGAACAAGATATTTCTGGTATAAAAGTAGTTAATAGAAAAAAAAAAAAACATAGCTAGACCAATACAATCCTCGTCGATTCGCTCAGAGTTTAAAATGAGGTAAAGTAGGTAATACTTAATACAAGTTATATTTTTTTTCTATCGTTTATGACTTTATAAGTCGATTAATATACATAATCGTTTCCATTAAACAGTTTTCATAATATTACTTCGTTTACGATACTTATATTCGTGTATACTATATAGTATATATATATTGTTTTTTAGAAATCAAATTAATAACTAGGTAATATTTGTATAGCGATGATTTTTAATTTTAATGCAGTCATAGTTATGTATTTTATTTTATGATTTTAATTTTCAACTTTTGTTTCCGATTGGATACTTAATCAGCGGTATATTATTTAGTGTATTTTTAAATTTACATACAAGAAGCGATGTGCAGGGATGGGGTTTTTTATTTATATACCATCTCACTATCATACTAATTCGTTTTTACATCAGTCTTAAAGAACAATTAGAAATGGAGTAGTGTGTTTGCATTTTATTCATCGAGTTCTAACGGCGTGACTGTACAAATTACCAAAATATTGTTTAAAACTGTACTCAGATTACAATATATAATGCGACTACTTATTAAAATATTGTTCAATAAGTTTATTAGGCGTAGTACCGATTGAATATTATTATTGTATACATGTATTGATTTTTCGGTATTTTTGTTTTGCAGGTAAGAAGAAAACGATTTTTATTGCAGTGTAATTTTGTTATGTGAACGGTGTTTTCAATTTGTAATATGTCAAACATACCGTAAGATTACCGTCTTTATATAGTATTTTTAATAATAATATTTGAAACATAAATAATAGGGTTAATTAAATTAAATGTAAAATTATACTTTACTATATATATATAAGTAATAATAATAATATAAATAATAAAACAATACCTAAGCACATATTATACAGTACCTATGTCAATTACATTATTATAATAACATACTCGTATAGTAGATAGGTTAACGGTATACCTACCTATTATTTTATCGTGTTCAAAACTTCAAAGATAATTAGAATACTTTGTATCCATCTGTGGTGCATTACACGCAGGTACATGCGAATTGTACGATTTTATTTGTTCATTGAATCGGATTTTCTTATCAATTTGTTACTGTAACATCGTGTTGAAATTGAAAAATATATATAATATAAAATATCTAAAATATAGATACGCGAACTTAACGATACAAAATTCGTATAAAAGAACTGGGTAGCAACTACGTTGATTATAGACTATGCACAGTATATACACACATCATGACGGATCGTGTTTTTATTGTTTATTGTTGCAACTTGCAGTGTAATGCATCACAAAACCAATTCCATCAATGGAAATAATAACGTAGGTATACACGGGCAGATATAAAATTGGAGTCGTAGATATAAGTCATATTTCTACGTCTATTAAAATATATGCAGTTATTTGAAGTCTTGTGGGCGTGTTTTTTTTTTTGTTAGTAATTTTTTATATAGGTATGAAATACGTTTCTTACACGAATAGTGTTCGTATCTATATCATTATTGTATACATCGGTATAGCCCAATAATTTATACAGGAAAAAAAATTCTGTTTGAAAAATACCGACGAATATTACGAATTCGTCAGCTCTAAATATTCACTAATAAATTTAACTGGAGATCAGATCTGAAAATATTAAAAACAAATTCAAATTATACCTATGCGGCATCTGATATGCATTGTAAGCACATTTCAATCATGTTCGTATTTTTATATATAGGGCATATTTTATTAAAATAATTGTATTTTAGAACGTAATTATTCGCGTAATATTATATTTTGAAATATTTATAGTAGGAAATAAATTTGTATTTTAGTTGGTAGGCATCACAAAGAAAAAAAAAATTTAAAAATACCTTTAAGAATCCATAAATTTATATATATATATATATATAATATATTAATGTAGATTAGTTGTATGTAATCATTTTAAAATAAATAGTATTCAAATTATTAATGGCAATAATAATATTGTAAATTTATGGATATTTAAAGGTATTTTTAAATTTTCTTTTTTTCTTTGTGATGCCTACCAACTAAAATAAAAATTTATTTCCTACTATAAATATTTCAAAATATAATATTACGTGAATCATTATGCTCTAAAAATGATATATTCAATGGGTAAAATCTTCGGCCTGTATATATATATATTATTTTAGAATATATTCTATATCGATTTTGCGTATTAAATATTATATAATATTTATAATATAAAGGTAATGTGATTTTTTAGGGTATATAATAATTAAATGCATATTTAAAGGCCTAATAATGTTATTTAACAAAGATAGGCAAGCTAATACAAATAATTGGCCTTCAGTTAGATGTTAAACTTTCACAAAGTTCGCTAATACATTTAACTAGTTAATTTACTTTTTATATATTAATAATGTAAACAAATAAAGTAAATCAAACTATCACAGTAAATTACAATACACAAATAGCAATATTTTAAAACAGACAACTCAAATTGAATTTAGAATCTATAAAAAAAAATCATACAATGAAAACTTAATTTAGTCAGTTAATAAATTATAATGGAAATAATTAACTAAGGTTAATTTAAAAAGCATATAACAAATTTACGTTTTAACTAATAAATGTCGGGCCAATTTCGTTTAATAAAAATGTTTATCATTTTTGTGATTTTTCAATCGGTTTTTATAATAACTGGGAAAAACCGTGATAAAATGTCGGAAAAACGGAAAATGTACGAAATGTAGGTGTTAGTAAAAAAATATGATGGCCTTTTTTTATGTGTTCAACTTTTCTACCAGCAATTTCGCTCCAATTTACAATGAAAGCACTTTTTCTGAAAGTAAATTAGACTGGGAAGGTACTTTAAGGTGATTATTTTTCGATTTTTCCAAGAGTTTCTTAGCAGATTTGATAATCCGGGAAAAAATATCGGAAAAACGGAAAAATCGATACAATATTAAATAAATATTATTAAAGAAAATATATAATGCCTATTTAGTTATTTTACGATGATATGGCACATATATTGTTGACAAAGCTTCATATCAACTGAACTGCGCTTAGAATCGTTTTTTCGTTAGTAATGGTATATAGTTGCTTACAGATATACATTAAACTACCTATACAAGTGGCGCTACACTCGTCTCCATTATCCTAGGACGTCTTTTTTATTTTTATTTTTTAGCACGTGCAGACTTGCACATTTCAATGTGTTTCACGATACTTAGAAAATATTTGATATAATAATATATTCTACTGCTGCGTGTTCGCATCTAGCGTTCGTGTGTAAATACCATTTGGCCGTCGTCGTTTCAACCGGTTCGCTTCATGTGCGAGACAATTTCAGTGTATTTATTTTATCTGTGTCGTGCGAATAACAATGTTCTTTTTTTTAACCGTATTAAATTCTGTACACCCGAAGGCATTACCATTTCATCGGTAACCGTTTTATTATTTTGGTGTTACTTATTAATAGCTGGTATTGTTAACACATATTTAGCTACCCCACCCATCGTTACCTATTGCAATATTTAACTTTTAACCTTTTTTTTCGACTATTTAAAAGCGGAATGTTTTTAAAAAATCCCTTCGAAAACCAAAATCAATAAAATAAATTCTCCCCATCTGCTCTATTTCATCCGTGTCACCGAGGTAATTCATAAACCAACACAGAAATCAAAATTAAATTTGTGTATCATAATACTAAAAGTCCTATATGATGAGCCACATTTTAAGAGTTGAATTTCGGAAATCCGGCTTTGACGTACACACGGACCCGATTCTATGTATGGAAATTTACAGAATATTGTGTACGATAGATTAACCTTTGGACCGCACACAGCAAACACTTCCATTTAATATTACTACAGAAGCGAAAATATTATTATTATTATTATGTAAAATATTATAACATCCCACGTGATAGGTCAGAGAAAAATTTCCATTTTCACCGACAAAAGTAAACATTATTTATGGTAAAAATTTCGTTCGGCTGTTCATATCGTATAATGCGAGAAAATATTTTTCTCTCTTTAAAAGTTATTTGCAGAAAATTACACATTCGATACTATAAATTATTTTATTCGGAGTTTATATCGATGTAATATATAATTTATTAAGGATTTAATTTTTGTTCTGCATAATTTCGTTCAGTTGTTCATTTTATATCACATTAATAAATCTTATTAATACACTATAACAATGACATAATGACAGTTTTATACACAACTCTCGTGAAATCAGTACGGAAATCAAAAAAGTTTCACTTTAGTCAAAATCAAATAAAACGAGTTCTGCATATTACTGCATTTTAATTTTGAACTTTTAAAAGTCTAATACGATTTATTAAAATTGTTCACAAAATATTAACTCTTATTAATCCCGGATCAAAATAAACCATTTCAGTTTCTTGAATTCCTTATGTCATTAAGGTCAAGGTCAGATTGGCAACTTTTGAATAGCATTGAAATTTTTGTATACGAGATTGGTCTATCCATTTCTTGTAATTTTGGTGATCGAGATACCATACCTCTGCACAAGAAAATAAACACAACATTATTTAGGTTCGACCCTATATCAAATGTTGAGTTATTTATTTATTTATTTATTTATTTATTACAATTTATGGATAATGGTCTTACGAAAGTCTAAAAATGTAATTATTTATTAAAGGTAGAGGTGATGGTGTTTATATTTGTCAATTTAAACTTAAAATCTAGACAAAACTGTAAGAACTGTATTTGACGGATTTCGAATATTTTAAAAACGTATTATATTAAAAACGAGTTTGGCCCTTCCTGACCCAAAGTCCAGAACTATATCCAAATGATTTATTACTATGAAATACCTCTCAAAAATCCAAACTATTGAATAGCCGTCGTTTATTTTCTGTCGCAGAGAATTATATTTTCGAGTATACAAATATCTCAATACACATTACAGATTTCTTAACTCGACAAATTCTATAATGGCGAATACTATTCCTATTATAGATATCTATTGAATGGACGTTTAAATATTTTTTTTTTTTTTTAGTAAATACTGTTTATTTACTTCTATAATTTTTATCACTGAAAGTAATAAAAAAATTATAATAACTCGTTTTCATTTATTATTTTCAAATTTGTATTATTATTATTAGTATTCTTACAGTTTTCTCAATAACTCCGACATGACGTAAATATCCCCAATAGTAAATTATACCCTACCTATCTATGATTTGATTTTTTTTTTTCACATTTTATACCTAGTTTATAATGCAAACAACCACGATCACGTAGGTTCTAATAATATAATATATACAAATTATTTTTTTTGTATCTATCGTTTAATCTGCAGAACTTCACACGTTTCACTTGAATACATTCCTCGTGCATGTCAGGAACTTATATGTATAGTGTATACAGTCACGACCTGTTGGGTTCATGAATAAAAAGTATAATAAAACACACCGTTGAAAAAAAATTAAGAACAATCAAAATATACCAAAAAAAAAAAAACAAACCAGATTAATACCTAATAAAAATGGCTACGTTAACTCGATTACAAATCCATTGGGTACCTATATAATATTATACTACAATGAGTCATGTTTTGTGGTGCGAGGTCTACTTAATCACGATTTATTAATCGCAATAAAACAATTGGAGTATTTAAAATCAAAGAAACAACAATTTATAAATAAATTATTATAGTTAATACTAATAGGAAATATACAAGTAGATTGTATGTTTGAAATGAAAATAAAATAAAAAGTATTAATATTAACGAAAATAGAAGTGTTTTTTAATGTTAACATTAACATTACCAATAATCATTAATACATTAATAATCTTTTCTTCTAAAAAGACAGAAACAATTATATTTTATTGTAAGTTGTTCAAAAGTTGTCTTAACTCTTAATGATTAGATCTAAATAAATTATTTCGTTTTTTTTTCTCTAAAATAGGCGTGTTTTTTTATTAAAATTTATGGATAATGGTCTTGTATTTTGGATTGTAATTTTGAAAATGATCGTCTGGATTTAAAACGACATATTCGTCGGCCATATTAAAACGGCCGTACTATTCCTCTTTAAACGAGTATTGAGAAGTAAACAGAGTGAACAAATTCATTGAGTTGATCAATGAAAAAGCAATTTAATTTTAAAATTGAATACAAATTATCGTCACCAATCCCCGTAAATTTGAAAATAAAATTGTGAGGCAGGATAAAAGACAGTTTACTGATAAGTAGTCTACTAAATATAGTCTACTACTAAATTTTCAACCGCATAATGTGTTTTCATACATACATTTCTATAGTAATAATGACAACTAAAATAATATCTAATCATTTAAACTCTTTTTTTTATATAGTTCGCTGTTTAATGGTCAACGATTTGTGAAATCTATTATTTACCGGTCTACGGTTTTTATAGTGTAATATTTTTTTATTATAGGCAAGATATTATTTCAGAATGAATGTTTATAATGATGCACAAATTATATACATTGGATACATATAACGTTATTTAATGATTTAGTTGTTATGAACGCTAATATTTTGTAAGTCATGGACTCATGATAAATCCGAATATTTAGATCAATTTACTAGCATATGTATTCTGTAGGTCATTATAAAAATGAAATCGTTTTAAAATCCAACAAAGGCCATAACCTTCTTATCGTCATCAATTTAGTTTACCATTTGCGAAAGCTAGCAAACATGGACCGTTATTATATCGGATATATAAATTAAGTCATTAAGAGACATTTTGAACGCAATGTCCATACGTAACACTAGAATAAAATAAAAATATACTCATACTTTTATTTTAAACCCATCTGAAATTGAAGTGAAGGAAAACAATAATATCAGTAACCCCAATAAAAATTGTAGAAATGTTTTGAACTAGAATATTAAAATTAGAACTTTAAGATATCAATGAAAAAAAATGGTGGTCATTATTAAATATTAATCTATGAAAATAGAAGATATTTTTAAAAATAGACATTATGCCAGGCGACTATTAGTGCTGAGTCTCCCCCCCAAACCCCTCTCCAAAAAAGAAGAAAAGAAAAACATCGTATTCAAATAAACAAATGCAAATATATGTTTGAAACAGTACTACGACTGTTTTGAATTTTAATCACGTGGTAATAAGTTAAAATATTTTAAATCCAGAAAATTACACGTTATATAAACTCAGTAAATAAATTATTTGAATCTAATAAGTAAATTTTTTTTTGTTTTGAAAACGTAAGTGAACCTGATTTCTGTTCAAATAGTATACAATTATATGCGCCCACTGATGTAAATGGGTCGAAAATATAAATTTACTAGTATGAATAGAAATTAATCCTACGTAATTATTTAAATGTATTAGTCATACCGCTCATACATTTGTATTTGTATTACGGCCGGTCGACTGGTTTATAAGTTATAGTTTTACAACAGGTGTACACTGTATACAGTATATACTAGTTTGTTTACGACCGTTGTCCATATCCATATTCAGTATAAATTATATACCTGCTTTCGGTGTACTCAAATCAAAAGTCATTAGGTACAATCCGAACATTGCACGTGTATATCTAAAATAAACCTAATATTTACAAAGTAAAAAGTACAATATTTAAACGAAACCAGTGATACACTTACCATACTAGTGATTTGGCTTCGAAAAAAGTCATATTGTGTTATAAGTTCGAAACGAAATTTTCGCAAAAGAAAATGTGGTAAATGCATTGATTTATTTATGTTACGCTCGTATTCAGACAAACACACAGTTTAAATTGTACTTAGAAACCCGTATTTTATTTTATTTTTTTTTTAATCTTCAACAAAACTGGTTTATTATCAATTCGAATCGATGTAATAATTTTTATATATAAATATATTATGTATAATAAGTAATGTATTCTATATCTATATATAGAGAAAAGTGAGATCTCGGCGTAAAATTGACTTAATGTACAAATTGAATTTACTAATTTTTTTTTTTCCAAACACGTGACTTTTATTTACATTTTATTATTATTATTATTATACTATATCATACTTACTCCTATTGTGATAAATGATATTATAATATGTAATATATATTAATATATTATAACCTTGTGTACAGTTTTATTTAGGTAAAGTTAATTTTTTTAAATTTATTTACTTACTATAGAAACTACTTAGATAAGTATAGATATATAAAGGTATAATGATATGAATGCTATTCAAAATCTACTGGATACATGAGAGCAAATCGGCCATATAATTTTTGGGGTAGGTTATACTTAATGAAGACATTAGAGATGCTTAGCTGATTTTTGGCGGGAATGCTAACTCTAATTTTCTCTCTCTTTTTTCCAATATCTGGGTTGATACATGAATAAATTTTAGATTTTAAGTAAACTGAGGAATGTATTGGTTTTTAAAATGTATTTCTAGTTGAATATTATTATTACTATAATTTGTTTTTGTATCTGTAAAAAACTACCTAATTTACCAGAAATCTGGCTCCAATAAAATATTTTATATGGAATGTCCAACGAAGATATTGGGTATATCTCCGAAAAAATAAAGATAAACAAATTCTGGTTTTTTTTTTCTATATATATATCATACTCACAAAGATGATGACTACAAATATTTATGTTTAAACAAAATGTTTATATTTTGGTAAAAAAAATAACTTTTTATTGTATTATTTTCGAACAATTTGAAGATAGCCATTGCAATGGGTACATCATCGTAGGACACCTGTAAAAACATTTTTGTAAAAATTTGTTCTTAGTTAGTGCACTGTGTTAGTCATTTTGTATATTTTTCTTAATAAATATAACTATGTATTCTTAATTTTAAATACGAGATGTGGCCAAAAATGACAGAAAAATGGGAGAAACCGACAATATTACCTAATTATTGTATAATTTTTGTTGATTTCCGGATTACTTATGGCAATAAGGGAAAAGTCGACTAATAATAATCTACTTTAAGAATTGTTTTTTTTTTTTACATTGGTTTCTCGTTGAGTAAAACCTAAAACAGTAGTACACCCATCAACAATATCTTTATTTTTTAAATAGTTCAAAGACTTAGATGATGATATATCCATATAGGAATTAACTTGTATATTGATATGTTTTTTATTAAAACTACAAAGTTGTTAAATCGGTAGGTTTTATTTTTATTAGCGAAATTAAAACTAATTACTATAATATGTTTTAAATTGTGGGTGATTTGTTTAGTTTTATTATTATTAGCCCATGTTTACGTTAAATTACACAGCTCGCAAACATTTATTCCACAATGTACCTATCGGTATTATATTTAAGATGGTGGAAGTTGTTGAGTAAATATATTATAATTTTAATAGTTGGTCATTACAAATAATCTGGTTTAATTCAGATTAATAGTATTAGTATTGTTTTGTTTTTTTTTTTTAATTCTATTTAAAAAATTCACCTCGAAAATGAATTGTTATTGCAAAAAGGTAAATTATAATTCAAATCAACTTAACTACAAAACAAAAAATATATTGTATGCAACGATAAATTATAATAGTAAAAACGATTCTAAAAAATTTTCAAAACTGAAAAACTAAAACAAAGGACTTAGGTAGTTTATTGCTGGGAATTTTGAAAAAATTTTAAATAAAGTACTACCAATCAGAAATTCCATATATTTTGTGAAAATGCAGTTCAAGTTTTGTCGAATGTCCCCACAGATAAAACAATTTTCCGTACGTTTCATAGTTATAAAAATAAAAAAAAAGAAAGATAAGATAATGGGGACGGGTGCAGACATTGGTGTAGATGGAAGTTGAGAAGGTAGGATGTAGATGGCAATTTAATGTATATCAACGATAAACCACTGTTAACGAAAAAACGATTCTGAGCGGAATTCAGTAGATAGTGTTGTTTTGTAAATAATACAACGTATGGTATATACCATATTATGGTAAACTGATTGTAACAATGTGTGTTTCCACGAAAACAATTATTGTTTAAAGAGATTAAAACAATAAAAACATATAATAAAAAATAAATAAAAACGGTTGCCAATGATAGTCTTATTTTTAGTCTTTCAAACTTTTTTAACTTAAAGACAAATATTAATATTAATGAAAATTTCAAAAAGTGACCTCTTTAAAGTACTATCCAGAGAAAATTTCCTTTCAGAAAATGTGCTTTAATTGTTAATTGGAATATGATTTCTAGTAGAAAAAGTGTTCACAATAAAAAAAAAAAAACATCACTGTAAAACCAATACATTAGTTACATACCTCGTTCCACTCACAAAAATAAAAAAAAAAATATCTTTATAAAACTAAAAGCTTCTTCGTTCCACTCAGAATCTAAAATTGTTTAATTATCGTATCCTTACCTAACCGTTACAGATATAATAACGAAATAGAGCTAATATTAACATTACAATGATTTTTTTGAAAGGATATGAATATCTATGGTACTATGATGACTTATTCCCTTTCTCACCAAAATAATCCAATTATACTTTACCCAAACTGCGAGAAGTAATTACGGAGGAGATATGGGTGATTGATTTTCCCCATGAATCGTATTTATATAGCATATTGTTATTTAATAAAAACTGAAAGTTCAAATGCAAATTTTCAAAACTATTATGAGATTAAGAAATTATAAATTTTAAATGTATTTATAGGTACCAAAATATTCTTAGTTTATTATTATACTAGTTGAGCAATATTTTTAATAGTTTATGTCAAAATAAATATTAAATTTCACTCTAAACTTTACATATTACGCGTTCGAACATGATTAGGACGTTGCAATTTAAAAACACTGCCGTGCCATTTTTTAGAAAACTTCCGAGCCCTGATGATGAGATATTAAAGGGGGTGGGGTTAACTTCCGACGAGATTGCCATGAACATTTATTTCGATATCCCCCCCCCCCCTTAAAACATTCTCAATCATGCCAATGCCAAACAGATGTGTATATACGAAGTCCATCGTAATCGAATGTATAAACTACAATAATATCAAAGATCATTATATTATCGTCGGCTTTGGTATCACGAAATAATGGTATATGTTCGTATAATATAATAGACCACCCTACATATATATAATATATTATATATAGGGTGATCCGCGAGGATTTATATCGTATTTTAAAATGATTGTTGACGGATAATCGTATAAATATAGTATAATAAAATTCTTTTGAAACACCCGGTATACAATCATAATACCTATACAGTGGCGGTCATTAATATCGTAGACAAACGTCTTACTTTCACAATAATATTATAATATAGGTAGTAGGTACCTATAATGTTACCGTGTAATAATATGAATTGCAATAATCAAATAATTATCGTATTTGACGTGTATTAATTCGATGCAAGTATATTTTATTATCCCGTGAAAACCGTTGTAATGGTCGCTATTGCAACGAATTATCTGTTCTGTATAGATGTATTCGGTACCCAGTTATTATATAAATCGGAGCACCGAGGTTAATGGAATTCCATAAAAATAAAATGGCCATTTTGAAATATATTATGGCGTTTTTTCGGAGTGATTTTGTGTTTAACAGTTACAAGCAGTAGATAATATAGTACTATATCATTATTAGGACTGTGAAATGCGATAAATCGTTTAACAAAGACAAAAATTTAAATCATTCATCACCAAAAGAAAAAAATCGTTTTGAATCGTATTTACATATATATATATATTTATATATATATATATATTTATACATAAAAAAATATAAATTACGAAAATAGTATCTAAAAAATCGAAAATGTCATAAATAGCAAAATTTAAAAAAAAAAATAAAAAAAAAAAATTGCATTCAATGATGTTCAATTAAAATATTGTGTCCGGCTCTGCTCGATGCGCTACTGTTTATATTTCCAGGAGGTAAAATATTGGAAAATGAAAAAAAAAAGTATACTATATATACTGTCCGATTGTTACCGTCGCTGTAGCAGTGTATAAAACGCTGACATTATAAGTTATAACGCGTGCGTGAACCGGGCGTTATCGAAAGACATCTAAATTTAATAAAAAAAAAAGGAAAGGAAAAACATTTCACAATTGTAAAAAAAAGAATTACAATAATAAATATGCGTTAAGAAATGGCGTTATAATGGTCCGTCGTTATGAAATCGGGTTTATAAGAGAAAATACAAAATCGACTCTAAAAACGATTGTCACACACATACGTATTAAAATAATATTTTGAGTGAATTTGTAACAACAAAGGGGATGGGATGTTATTAGGAAATATAACTGCTGTTATGGTTACATTAAAATAATGACACCATCGAGATCTGCGGTAGTATAAATTATATGGGTATGTATAGTTCGTATTTTTCTAAAAATATTAAAATCCATTTAATAAAATAGGCTGATACTGTACGATAACACCTATCAACAGTATCAACCATACCGTTACTGTTTTAGAAAGAAAGTTGGAAGGAATTATGTAAAGATTAATTTAATTTACATCTGTACGTAACAATAAACCATTGCAAACGAAAAACAATTCTGAGTAGAATATGATTAGTTGTATTTTTCCCCTTGTTACCAAGATAACAAGGAAATCGACAAAACTTATACAAAAATGAACTATTTTCCCTGTATATTGAGAAAACTACAAAAGAGAACAAAACATGATCTACATCGCACCAACTAGATCAAAAATGCTACGAGAAAAGTACTGTAAAGTTTTTTAATGGAATAAGATTTCTGGTAGAAAAGTTGTTTATAGACAAAAAAAAAACGCATAATATTAAAACCAATTCATTCTCGCTTCACTAAAATTATTTAAGTTCAAAATTAAAACCCACATTGGCTTTATTTTAAGCGATCAATTGCGCAATTTGTGATAAATATAACAAAGATTTTATTAATTTTTTAAAAACTATTTTATTGTATTTTTTCATATTTTATATTATAATTTTATTATTTTAAAAGTAAGAGACGGATACTAGTAATTTAGAATTTAATACTTGATTATAAATACAATTTGTTTAAAATTAATAACTATTATTACAAATATGAATTTATTTATTATTAATATTATTTAAAAAATAGTTATTTTGTTTAATATTAATTATTCAACTACGATCTGTTAACCACGTTATCACTTATCATTCTAACACAGTAAAATGTCGAAATCGAAACCAAAAATTAATTCAGTTGAAATATTTGATAATGTCTTAATCAGTATCAAATTTACGGGGGAATTCAGAGAGTTTGGACCCTCCCCAGGCAAAAATACAAATATAATTTCAATAACATGTCATTTAAAATAGACGTCTCCTCAAAATAATCTTTGGAGTATATATTATTTTCCAGGACCGCCTCTCCCGATCTTCTAGGATATTTTTTAAAATCCTTCACTGGTTTTAAATAGAAAATCCCTAATTACAGCTTATATTTGAACAATAAATATTAACATATTGTTGCATAAGTTATAACATAACAATATTGGAATAACTAATTAATTAGTATAATGTAATGTTTTAATCACATTTAAGTTTTTTGCCTTGATTTTGAAACATGGTTAGAAAATTACCTATTATTACCCGTTATATGAAATGCGTTAGCATATAAATCGTCAAAAGAATGATAATTTCTTATTACGGTTTTAAAGGAAAATTAACAGTGTAGAGAAACGGAATTTCATTTTTTGAGGAAATGCATGAGGACGGTTATATTATTAAAGTTAGAGGCTGGAGAAGAAATGAAAAAAAAAAAAAAATAACAAAACAAAAACACGATCGTAGTCGATATGTTATAACGAACATTGTGTATTTAGTATACCTATATCGATAATTAATAACATAATATAGTAGGTATAATTAAATTTGGTATTGTTTCGAAGGACTGGCCACAAACAAACGACGGAAACAAACGACGCTCGAATCTTAAAACAGATTATCTAGAAGTGGTGGGTTTGGTCTCTGTGGACACGTTTATGCATTTCCAGCCTTTTTTTATATTATATTGTCAACTTGACAGATTTCTGCGCGATCGCACTCGTAAAAATCGAATTTTTTTTTTAAAAAAACGAGCGGTTTGTTTTGGTTTTTGTTTACATCAGAGAGTATTTTAGACCGGTCCCTCATCCTCTGGCCTGTAGATCAATAATAATATTGCATAATATATATTATATATATTTTATACATTTGTTGTTGCAAATCTTCCAAATGGGGCAAAGTGAGTTTTTTTTTTACTTTTAGAAAGTGTTATTAATAATATTAATTGCACTGAAATTACCAGCTGTATCTATTTATTATAATATAGTTACCTAGTAGCTGATCGAAATTACCGGCTGATTATTTATGAATTTCAATAATCATCTATAATATATAAGAAAAATAACAAGGAAGATTCGTCAAAATCGTTCAAAAATTATTTTTTAAAATCTACATACAAAAATAATTGTACACATAGCTAATGTGTACAGGTAAACACAATTGATAATATTTTTTTCTTTCATGCGTTTCGCGACTGAAATATATTAACCGTTCGAAGAAATAAAATCGTGGGAATTTTCATTTCTTTTTTTTTATTATTTTAACGATTAACAATTTATAGTTAACCATTCTACAATTTGTTTTTTCGTCATTCATTTTTACAAATCTTTACGAAATTATAGCTGATTGATGGCTAAATTATCGAATTAGTAAGCTACCTCGCATCTCCTATACTAATATAGGAGGTACGAGGTAAAGCGCCGATAAAAATCAATAATCGTTTTAATGATACGCACGGATCGTCTTACTTTTATCGTTTCGTTTATAAATAGGTACCCGTTATTAAAATTAATGTACACCTAATAATATTCACGTCATCGAAACTGCACATAATAAGTGCCCATTTACGTAACATCACTATAATGCGTGTGCGTACATAATATATTTTGAATTTTCGTTTAAACTGTTTATTAATGAAGCTGACGGCCTCCCCCTAGCCCCTTCCTTTCCAACAGTAAAAAATATTATTTCTCAGCTGTGCCACACGACGGAGAATATCCGATTTAATAATAATTACTCGTTAATTTTAAAGAATATTTTCAGCATGACAACGTCGATATTATATAACGTTTAAAACACATAATGACAAAAATTAGTTTTTTTTTTTTTTTCCGGAGATTTAATAGTATATAAATATGCCTTTGGAAGAAAAGGCTTAAGTGAAGTGTGTATAGTTTTCAATACGGACAAATTCAATTTTGAAAATTGCTTAATGGCATAATGTCTAAATTACTAATATGTTTAAGCTGAATGCAGGCGTTATAATAATGACTTAAGTCACATAATTATGTGATTATTGTGCCATCTTATGGCAAACAGAAATTGCATTAAAAAGAATTAAGATATTATTAATTCAGTATAACATGTGTTAGAATGTGTAAAGATTTATGCAATTCAGACCAAAAATTGAATGAAACAAATTAAACAAGATACAATAGAAAAAAACTTGGCATATATATTGTTTAAGCCCTTCTTCCCCCGAAACAAAATTTATATAATGTAGTAAACCTTTTTGGTTAAGATAAAATGTAATGAGAGTTTATTCGTAAAGGTCATTAAAAGGCAACTCGTATGTAATAAAATTATTATTTGAGCTATATTTAGGAAAGTAACTGGTATACTATATTTCTAATAAGTAGTGGTGGATTCAGGAAGAAGCGATGTGGATGATCACCCTTTTCCCCATTCACTCACCAATATACTCTTCCTATTCTCTTTTTATAAATTCGGGCTTAATTTAAATTTTAAAAATAACCCCCTCTCTTATCTTATTCTGTGTCCACCTTCGTTAGTATAGTTATATATCCAATAGGTTGTGATGTAAAATACAATTTCTCAATAATTGTACGTGACGAAAATAAACTACTCAGTATATTAAAATATATTTTCAATACTTTTTTTTTCGTGAATACGCTTGATTTAATTTTAAATACGGTTTTTAGTATGTATGCTCATTGATATTTCATTTTCAGAAGCAAATATTATTTACCCAATAAGAAAAATTATGTTCTACTACAAAACATGTTCACCCGAGAAAGATTCGCGGTAATTTTAATTATATGTAACTTATAAATAGTATAAAAACTGGATCAATGTACGTCTTAACAGTTACTCGTGGCCATATTAAATATTTGAAATATTATGAAAACAAAGTTTTAATTGGATTGTTTTTTTTATAGTATTTTCGAATTAAATGATAACGCGTTTACATGCGTTCCTCTTTAAGTTTTAAACACGTGGTAATAATATAATCTAAAATTAAGGTCAATTTTTTTTATATGTGTCTTCATATAAACTGCATATGAAGTAAGTATCGTAAGCATTGCCAATGCTGCAATATTTTTGTAATTCACATTTCCTATTACAGTTTATTAAAATTCGTTCGTAATGTCACAGCCTTATACACATTTCGAAATGACGATTAATAATAACGAAACAATAACAAAAAAAAAAATAAACAAACGGTTATACTTCGTAATATGAGTTGGCTACTATTGTAAGCGAGAATTTTAGAAGTTAGAAAGTAAATTTAATTTATATCTGTACGCAAAATTAATCATTGCTAACGTAAAACGATTCTAAGCGAAGTTTGGTTATACATGCTTTGAAAGGCTGTAATATTTACGATTTCAAAAAATAATACATTATATAAACTTTCCTGTTTTTCCCACGTTTTTCTCAGTTATCCCCATTTCTTATGAAAACCCATGAGAAAATCACAAAAATATCTACTTGACATACCGTTCCAGTCAGCATTCTTTTCAAAATTTCTGGTAGAAAAGTTGTTCATAAAATAAAAATTATTTAATAAAAATCATTGAAAAACCAATACCTCGGTCCGCTCAGAATGTAAAGAAAAAGAAATTACAAACTTCATGAATTGATTTCTCGGGCTATTGCACGGTTCTAACTTCAATAATAATGATCAAGTTTTTTTTTTTGTATTCGTTGTCAATGAACGTTTTTTCGAAGCGTATTATTACAGAAAACAATAATTATATTATTGTTTTAAATTATTATTTCAATGGAATAAAATTTATTCCATTGAAATAAGGTTATTAATAGAAAGTAGTTATTTTTGGCGGTAACGATTATTATTTTATTTTTCAATATTTATTTATTACTAGTATTCGTTATTCGATTTTCCCGAGTTATTCTCAAGTGTGTATTTTTTACTTAACGACGAGTTTGTTTGTAATTTGCACTAGATAACGTTTTTCATACTTGTCATACACACGAGTAGCCAGGATTTCTCAATATGGGGGGAGGGGGTTAGGTGTCGAATATTAAACCAAATCTAAAATTACATGTTTGCCCGCTATACTGTTTGTTTCATTAATTACATTTAAAAGTATACCATTTAATTAATCAACGAAATATGAAAATGAACCATACGCACCGTTAAGTAACATAAACAGTAAATCTAAAACGATCAATAATGATAAATGTATTTAAAAAATACAGTAAAAAGGAGGAAGTGACAAGTCTATAGCGGTGACCTTTTTTTCGTACAATTAAAATTTATAATGAATTTCCGAATATCCAGGAAGATGTAGTTTTCTTTTTTACTCCACTTTCGGGTGCTTTTACATGTGTTTGTAGACTTAATGGTGTATCGAAACGAAAAACCGCTGCAGTCTAACAATTAAAGATTTTACTAAATATATATTTTGAAACATAATTAGCATTTCTGGACGTCACGTCGTCAACTGCGTTTTCGCCCTTAATACAATTGGACGAGATATAATGTTTAGACAATTTAAATATACCGATAAAACCGCGTTTCCGTTGAAATAATTCCTCTGTAGTAAATAATTATACTGTCCTCTGTTTGAAACAGAACTGATGACTATTTTAAAATATTTTTAACGCGCTCGTTAAAATATTATATATCTCGCGATTAGTTACACGCACGCAGTGTCGGAAAAAGTGAACTGTTAAAAAAAAAAAAAAACAATAAACTTTTATTGTGTATCGTGATATTATTATTTGTTTTTTATTTTACTTTTCAGCTTTTATAGTACACCGTAAAACATAAGAATTTAATGTTAATAAAAAATGCATGACACTTAATATAACGCGTAGATATCTTAAAAATGAATGCATAAAAAAACTATATAATTCTATAGGCCAAAATAAGCAAAGAGTACATAATATTTCTATCGTACAATAATTGATTACAGTTTTTAATATGGATTTGATAGATATTTCAAGTTATTAATCGGTTTTACCTGGCAATTTCTATATTTTTTATCACAACGTGTCTTATACTTATATACCTTATTATACTTTACCTTATTCCTTATACTTATATATATACAGGGAAAATTTAAGAAAATATTGAACTCTGGACTTGTCCGAATAAATATACCGTAGGTACTACTCAAAACGCGTTTTAAGACATCTTCAGTTTTTATCAGAAAATTATATTATTTTCGTGTTTTTAGAGTTCCTTTTATTTCATATACGTATGTGTAATTTTTTTGTATATAATAAAAACTAACTGAAAAAACGCTTCTAAATCATTTACTGAATTTCATTAAAATCGCATTTTTATATTTTTGTTTAAAATAAACTTTTTAATAATTTTTAGTAACCGCATGTGTTGCGTTTGAACATGATGTTTTTCTTAAACTTCCACGCCATTACACATTATGTTTCAACTTTTGGAAACTATTTGAATATATTGCGCGATTGTATTTATTTATATAATATGATATGTGTTTATTCAAATGTGTGTGTCTTTTTTGTCGTCTTCGTTTTCGTACCTATATAATATGTGTAGAAGTTCAGAAACGTATGACAAATTGAAAATCAATAACGTATACAAACACTGTGTCAATAAACGGTAATTAATCACTCGCGTTTTTGTGTGGTAAAATCATCACCTCATTTTTTTTTTAGAGGGGGATGGGATTCAGTGTCAGAAAAACTTGTCTTTTCCAAAGTACCGTCTTTCTATGCTATGCATTATGCATACTTAAATATTTGAACTGTAGAGGATTACCATCGAGACTTTTTATTTTAAATGGATAGTTTTTCTTGGGATTTTTTTTTCATTCCCTGTGTTGGAAAAAAATAAAATAACCAACACAAAAGTACGTACGTTCAGTGGGATAATTGGTTAACGGATATGCATCGTTTGAATAACTTTTAAAATGTTCATCGTTATTTCAAAATCGTTATTACGCAACATTGATCGGTTTTTGTTTGCGTTATTTTACATTTAATAGCGTTTACATGTTTTTCGTGTGTTTAGACTTATTTTTCTTAAAATTATTAACAAACACAAAAACGAAAAAAATTGGAAACATGTCCTTATTTTAATCTAGTATCAATATATAATATTATATAATACACGATACCGTATAATAATGTCCATTTATTACGACGTTAGATAACAATAATAATAATAATAATATATTACTTTACACCTTAAAATAAGAAATATTCATTCGGAGAAGTTACGTGTGTATACTGCATTTTGTTTGTTTTGTTTTTATTTTATGTTACACTATCATAATTTTAAATACATAGTATTATTATTTGTTCTACGTCTATTTTGTTACGCTGCACTATTACTGTTATTTTTATTATTGGCGCCGATTATCAAATGCAAAATTATAAATAATTTAGGAAATTGAATCGAGTACACGTATTGATAATAATATTATGAAAAAATAATAATGTTATCACAAAAGTAGATTGTTGATAGTGAAGTTTAAAGAGTCGTAAGTTCCTCCAACGTTTTTTAATAATAGGATACCAGAAAATATAATAGGTACCTGGGTAATGAAATTTAGGTCGTTTTAATTCGAACTACGAAGAAATCGGAAATCGTATCTTTATACTATTGCCTTTACAATCTCGCTAGTTCCGTCATTGACGAAAGAAGAATTTGGCCCACATCCAAAATAAAAAAAACATATAACTGTAGTTGGCTCAATAACATTTTAGAGCAATAAGTACCTACTGTACGTTAAAGTAGTTAAAATCTTGATTTTTCCATTTACGCAAGATTCGGCTCGGTTGACATCTTTGTAATACATCTATTCTTAATGAAAATTCAAGTCAAACGAATTTATCGAATACATCAGTTGTGATTAATACGTCTTGTTGTCGTGTTATACATACACTGAATATCGCATTCGAATTTGTATACCTTAGAACAAAAATACCACATCAGTACAGACTAATATACGGATGCATTATAGATTTTCTCGGAGGATTGGAAAAATCGTAAATATATTCACTTGGAATACCTGTAATATTTTATGTTTTATTTTAGACTTGATAGTTTAATGGGTACAGGTATACCTCATGAAACCAATTACTAAAAGTTTTATATGATCGTGTAGTATAATCAGAAAAGGCGTATAATTTTGCAAAAACGAACTTGATTTATGAGAGTATAAAGGGAGAAACTAATATTTATTATCGGGTTTGAAATTTCACTTACGTAATCATAATAGTTTTTGATTTGGGTTTTGATGGGATAGAAATAATTGTCGTACAAAAAATAATAAAATGCGCTTTATTCTATGGCTCAGTATTGACAGGGGACATAAACGATGTAGCGAAATGTGTCAAGTTGAAAAATCGTTTGCGTAAAGGGTCCCACGGGATTGTAACTTAATAGTTGTCTAAAGGCTGGATAATGAGATATTGATGTTTTTATTTGGAATTTGAAAAAAAAATGTACGATATTATACACACGTCACTTGATATTTCTTATCCAAAAACGCTACTGTAGTTGAAAACCATCAAAACTCCGAAATTCATTCAACCGTCGTATTTTATCATATTTTTAATGAGTCTGTATAAATAAAATAACTGATTAATAAAGATGTTGAAATCAAACAGTCTATAATGTGTTATGCAAATGTACTTAAAAAATTATTTATTATTAATAATTTACACGGAGCATTGTATAGGCAATTCTACTGCGTTAGTGTCATTTCGCGGTAATTATACTCGTACATTCCAATAAAATAATCATAATAGATGTTACGAGCATTATTATCTACTAAAAAATAATATTATAATGAAGTAAAAATCACATAGTTATTATTAGGAATGAGAAGCTATAAGAAGAAAGATTATTATTAAATTTGTGCAAAATATGCACAAAAAAAAAAAAAAAAAAAAAAAAAAAAAGTGTTATAATAAACATAATAAAATTTGAACAAGTCATTAGCTCACCTAGCTATGAATAGAAGACATAGACAAGAATATGCAATTCTTATAACTTCTTATCCTTAGTTATTATGATTTAATCATCAGCGGCATATATATAGAGGAAGAAGATAAATTTTCCAAGTAATGAAAAAAAAAAAAAAAAGTGTTATAATAAACATAATAAAATTTGAACAAGTCATAGAAATCGTAATCATTTCCTAAAACCAGTTTCTTAAACACGACTAGTCAGTTATCACTCTATACGTTTAAAAAAAAGATCAAATATTATCACATAATGGAAATTAAACAGTCACGGTGACGTCATGATATATGGTACATATTTTATATTATTACGGTTGATTTTTGTGGACATTTTGATTTTGAATAAAACTGAAAATTAATTATTACTTAAAACAATCACAATTTTATCGTTTTATAGTGAAAATGTAAGTATTTATAGTTTTCACTAACTATCTATACACCACCATTTGGATGTTTTATTTGTTTGTTTGTTTGGGACTTATATCCTCTCCCCTTATTAGAAAATCGAATAATATATACCTCTATACGAATATTATGTTACAATATTTATTTCAGTTTTCAGATTATTAGTTTCTTTCATATTTGTTTTATCGTGTTAACCTATAAATTATAAAAACACAAGGCCCTTCATAATATAAAACCTAAAAAAAAAGAATACGGTAATATATCATATGCAGTTCAAAGGTTTGTATTTTTATATTCTGCCTACAGTTTTAATCGTTTTTTTATTCAGCTAATTATTGACGTATACAATTTAATAACGTATTGAGAAAAGTTTTATCGATTAATTCTATTTATAGTATTGGATTATAAGTATAAATAATATTGTTTATAATTATTGGGTTTTGGAGCATTTTGATTTTGCTTGTTGATGTTTTCACTTTTGTGAAGCTTGAGTAACAATAATATATTCTATAGGTCAAATACAATAAATGGTTTTTCTGAACTCTGTTGGCTTACACTATATATTTTGTTTGTGACATATTTTTTCAAGTTAATTCGTAATACATTAAAAGATTAGAAATCATATTTTTATGAACTCAAACATTTTTTATACAATTATTAAGCGCATTTATATTATATTAGCCTGTTTTCTCGTACATAATTATTGTTTATTTCTTCTTGTAAACCTGATTTTATTATTATTATTTTCTTAACGTCGTTTAGGAAACATACCTAAAATAAGTAGAACAAATGCTAGAGAAATACTTTTTTTTATTTATATTGATTTATCGTTATTTACCATTTATTTTTAATTAAACAATCTCGATCTGCAACGCTTTTAGTAATGTTATTAAAACATAATTCTTTACTATAGACATAATATTGATAGTATAAATCACATTCCAAGAGTTTTAATGTATTAAAAAGTGCGTATACTTTTGTCCGGTACAAATGTTTAATGCTAGTTGAAATTCACATTATTACATTATTAACGAGTAACGACAAATAATGTTAAGTAGGCATAATTTTTTACTCCGTTGTTCAATTTTTTCTCCTGTTGAAATTTAGTTGTGTCGCGTTGCAATAAAATCGTCGTTATCTTTGTTTGTAGATTATTTTCATTTATATAGTATCCAATTATCTTGGGTTCAAGGCCCTATCTAGAAGGTGTCTAAGCCCTTCCCCCAAATTATAATTACATTTGTATAGATTATTAAATGAAAATAGAACTCCTGCAGTTTTTCCTCAGATACGACTCTACTTGGTTTGTATTATTGAAATGCTTATAATCGTGAGCTTCATAAACAAATAGTTTTAAATTTCGCGAAAATTCAAATATTACGTAATTGTTCTTTTTGATGTTTTGCTTTGTTTAAATATAAGAATATCATTTTTATATGTAAATTTTGCTGATACTAAATCAGCTAAAATAAATCGGTAAAATCAAAAAAAAAAAAGTGTTTCTCTCGCCTAGGTCGACGGGACGGCGCTGATTAACGAGTAACTATAATTTAAGCGCACCTCCGCAAAGCGGTTATGTTTACGTGAATTTAATCAAAGTCAACTTTTATTTTTTCACATACCTATATAATTTAAAGAATAATTATAAAAAAAGATATACATATATATATATATATATATTCATTTTTGGAGAGAAAAAAAAATGTAAAATATAGTTTATTATATTTACGAACATTTAAAATTTAGATCATAATATTATAATACGAGTGAATACACGGGGGAATAATATTACCACACCCCGGCGCGTTTCGCCACGCTGCTATATCCCTTTATACATAAAACGTTTGTTCGCCATTGTATAAAAATAATCATAAACCATATTATTTCGATATCCAATATTTTAAACCCAGTTATATCTATTGCGTTTCGGAAAATATATATGAAATTCAGATTAGCTGTATATAAGGATATTTTAACAACTACAAAATCAAACGAGTCACTACGAGAACACTAACACGCATCATAATATAATAACGAACTGTTTTGTTTTTCTTATTGTAATCCGATTAAGCACCGATTAAGTACTTATGATAATAATCAATCAAAATAAAAAAAAAAAAAAACGTACGTTTTCGTTAGACAAATATTACTGGTTCGTGTTAAAACAATCCGTCTATAATTTGTATATTATATTACTATTATTATTATAAACTGCTGTAGTGCGTGAAACTACAAACTAAAAATGTGAAACCAATTACTTACCGACTTAAAGACTTACAAGGTGCGTCGACTTTAAATAATATTTGTATTAACCAACGAAAAAGTAAACAAAAAAAAAAAAACCAAGATTTTTAATAACTAATCTAAACGGATTACGCCCTTGTTTAGTTAAACATTTTTATATATTACTGTACAGGTAAAAAGATTTTTTTTAAAACGTCTGCTTTAAATTATTATTTACTCTTATAACGCCGTTTTGTTGTAAAATATTATTATATATTTAAGTCTTTAGATAGTTTATGATTGTAAGACCCTGATAATAAAGCTAAATAAAAGTTATAAAAGTTTACCGAAACTTATGGTGAAAATTGAAAAAATGTACATGCCGATGATTTTGAACGTAGTGAGGAACGTATTGGTTTTACAATGATGTAAGATTTTTTTTACACCCGTATATGCTTTATTTTATTTTATTGTAGATTCTGAGCGGAGCGAAGAAGCTTATGATTTTACAAAGATGTGTATATATATTTTTTTTTTTCTGTGGATAACTTTTTACCAGAGAACTTACTCCGATTTTCACGTGTAGCACATTTTTTTAAAGAAAATTGGTGAGGGCAGGTACTTTAAAGAGGTCGTTTTTCGATTTTCTTTCGAGTTTTCTCAACTAATGTGAAAAACCGAAAAAAAAACGGGAAAATGTAAGAAATGTAGGCTAAAAATATGATGGCCTTATTTTTTTCTGCGGACAACTTTTCTACCAGCAATTTCGCTCCAACTTATAATGATAGCAATTATTATAAAAGGAAATTTCACTGGGATGGCACTTTGGAGAGCTCATATAATGGTATTTATGCGATTAATATTTTGTACTACAATAGGTATTCGTTGATCGCCACAGGTAATGTTTTCCTGACGGCGGCTGCGGTTTCGGACCGCTAACCGGTATGCGCGGAATTTCGACGGAAGTTTTTCCGTTTTTTTTTATTTCATCGGGAGGCTCACGCCGTGCGACGCGTCCGTCGTTTCGACCGTTACTCCTCAGCCGTCACCCGTGCCACTGATATGACCATACGATACCAAAGACTTTAAAACTATAAACTCGCAAGGTTATGGTAGTACCGTATTACACCCGTTTACGTCTGGCCGTTTATATATGCTCCTTGCAGTACGCGGTCCGAGTCGGAGTTTCTCAATGTTTCCCCTCACTCCAGGTCGTCCGATATATCGGTCGTGGTTTTTTCGCAACGTAGGTACCGGCTGTGCGTCAATTCGTCAATCCGATGTCCGATTTTCCCGATGTAGGCCCCCTCATGAGCCGTATTTATATGGTATATTGTTATTTTATACAAATTAGAAGTTTTTCAAAACTATTAGGAAATTAAAAAATTTTAAATGTTTAATTGTATTGGTAGGTACTAAAATATTCACAGTTTATCACTATACCAGTTAAGAAATATTCTTAATAGTTTATGTCAAGATATATTGTACATTTAATCTTTACATACTACGCGTTCGAACGTGATTAGCACGTTGCAATTTTAAAAACTTAGATAGACGTACCATTTAATAGAAAATTTCCGAGCCATGGTGCCGATTATTAAGTGTTGATAGGGGGTTGTGTGGGGCTAACCTCCCATAAGATCGCCGTTTATTTTGATAACCTCCCCCCCTTAAAATATTCTCAATTACGCCACTGCTCCGTTCACGTCGATCGAAGCTCTTCTTTCGCCTGGCTTCAATATTTGTGTGTGTGCGTTTGAGGGAACCCCGAACGGTCGCGTCGACCCGAATACGTTTTACCCGTATATAGAGTCGCCCTCGTCATTTAACGCAATTAAACACAGTTTTATTCCAAGTGAAATTAATAATAATGTTAAAATAATACAAATACACTTTAGTCGAGTAACGATTATCTCCTTGGGCGGTTACGGCAATACCAGGTAAAAGGCGGTGTGTAGTGATTGATGATTTATAAACAATATTAGAATTACACACGCAACAATATTATTATAAGACCCGATTGTTGTTAACGTTCCAACTTTCAAGTGCATTCAACCATTATCGTTAAGTGTTTTCATTATTGAAGAACATAGTATTGATACCGAGATAATCGATATCATCTAAAACCGTGGTGACAACATTAAAAAAAAAAAAAACTGTAAAAACACATTGTTAGAAGCACTCTAATAGTAAGTCGAAATATTCGATTTTTAGATTAAATTCTGTGGTCACAAAATGAATGTACTCGTGGACGAGCAGCCACCAAATTATCTTAAATCGTGATTATTACCAACGCCGTATCGCATAAGGTTTTTCCTTTTCCACCGTTTCATTTGTTGTCGACGTCGTATCCCTAGCGTTTAGTTTCTTTGTGTGCAATTTATACATATCTCGTTGTCCATTTAAGTTTGCGTGTTGTGTGTAGGCCGCGAAGCCGCATTGTATGTATGCATCTATTAAAAAATAAATTATTCGTGATTTATTATTTGTGTTAATCGACCTAATTGTCATAATCACTTAAATTGTATAAAAACAAGGCGATTATCCGACAAGACACTGATAATCTCGGAAAGCATTAAACCTTTTCCACACCTCGCCTACTGCAGCGGCACATTCATCACCAGTATCGGTTTTTTTTGTTTTGTGTTGCTGTTGTCTCTAAAGAAAAGTTTATTTACTAACATAATTAAAAAACTAAAACATCATTATATGAAAATATTCTATTTACGCCGTCACGATTTCTGTGCCTAAACACATAATATTTTAGTATTTGCATATTATATAATGTTTACTCATACCTATCGACGGTAAATGCAGAGTGACAATTTTACCACAAACTTGCGGTTATCTGCAATGATTTTTAGTAAATTTGGTTTTTTCTACACACATTGTAGGTACCTAAATAATATTTTATAAATGACTTTTTTACCATATTTTCAAAATGTTATCCTTGTTCCGTTTCAAACAGCAAACTAAATTTTTTAACTCAAAAAATGTTAACATTCAAATTATACTGTTATTTTCATACATCTGTAAAACATTTTTTACTGTATAATATAGTCGTTTATAATTTTTGTACCTGGTGTTGTATATTAGTATATACCTACCTAAATTTTATATTTCAGCTCCAGTACTTAAAATAAAAATACTGTAATATAATATAACATTGTATCAACAATAAAATTGGTATCGTTCGAACATCTTATTGAAAATACTTTTATGGTTCGATACTGTTTTATTTCAGATTATTTACGCTCCGCCGCTTAAACCGAATATTTTGTTATTCGCATTATTCAAAAAGTTGAGAAAAGTATGTTTGTTTTATTAACTTTTAAAGCTTTTCTTTTTATATTTATTTTTCTCATTTTATTTTTGACACGCTGCATGTACATGCGTGGCATTGCACAGGAAACTTATAATAATATATCTTTATATCGAACTTATGCAGTGTACATGTATAATATTATTGTATATTATTAGATTAAAGTTCTGGTACTTTTTCAATGATCACACTGTAATATGTGTACAAAAATTAGTTACCTAACTACATACAATCGTTCGTATGGCGTATATTATATCGCAGCGAACGAAATTAATAAGGAAGTGTATTTTTTCCTCTTATTTAAGTTTTCTATTCGTATAATTTGTTCCGAACGAATTTTATTGCAGCATAATAAAATGTCAGAAATGCGACTGTAAAAATATGATTAGTGTTTCTGGTTTAATCGTACACACCGATGCGCTCCGTTTATATGTACATAAATCGTGCATCGTAATAAACTAGAGTGTACCGTATGCTTAAGTATTATATTCATATCATTTAACATAATATCGTTTCACGTTACGTAGAATTAAAGAAAATAAAAATAAAAAGTTATATTTTCGAATAACTGAAAATGTGTATATTTTTTTATTATAACTGTTTTGATTTTTTTTTAGTTATCGGTAATATTGTTTCATACGTTAATCATATTTTGTATCTATAGACGCACGACGATAAATCATTGCTCGCGAAAAACAATATTCTCCACGAAGCGCGGTGAAATGTGATTTTTTCGCTATATTTGTTGTCATATCGTATGCATATAACACGTATTAGAACGTAGGGGGGGCTGGGAAACCCGGATTTTCGGAATTTATTTCAAAATCGGGATTTTTGATTTTCGTTCTTCGATTATTCTGCATACAGTCCAAAAACTAATTTTAATTATACATTTTGAAATCCAAAATTGAAATTATCTTTTTTCGATTAGGTATTCGTATTTTCAGATTGTTTGGATCACGCCAGTAGCACACAATGTATATTATACTAATATAATATACTGCCAACTATATTATTTTTAACGTTATATTAATATGTAAAGAATGTAATAAATTTTACCGTTTCTGATGTGAAACGTCGTTTTTCTGAGGGCGGGCGGGCGAACGAATTACTATGATGCTCACGACAGTTTCCGTCGTCACCGAAATGGCACCAGCACGCACCCCCTTCCGCCTTCCTGTTGGTACACGAAACCTTTTTCGTCGTGTGGTTGTCGACCCGGGTCGCGATCCGTTCTTTTATTAATATAGTATCTATGCCTCTGTCTGTGCCGATGACACGGTCGTTATCATTCTTCTTCTTCTCGCCCCTCACCTTATCCCCGTCCCCCGTCTATTCGGGGTCGGCCACCGCGGTTCTAAATCACCATCACTTGACTCGGTCTCCCGCATCATCTGTATGGGGGGGGGGTATACGTCATACTACACAGTGTGTACCCATTCCAGCAGCCGTCCTCGTATCATCACTATCACTCTCAATCGTGTCTAACCGCATCTCCGTTCGGTCCTCCCCGTTTCCCGCTCATTCCGTCCATGTGCATTAGTATAAAACTACATTTTACTGCAGACTCTGACATAATATATTTCCTCTCGTCACACGTCCAAATCGCCTCCGTCGTTTGTCGACGCTCGCCATATTAACAACTGTCGTAGTTGCTATAGCGTTCGTATTAAATTTAATAATTTACACAGCACGCTTATGTTAAGTACCTATGCGTTTTAATTACTATAATACGTAATCATAATGATAAAGTCGCAAAACATACACTGCAGGTTTCAGATAATATAGGCATTGTTTCACTGCATAAATGTTATGATGTGTGTGTTTTTAAAAATTTCCATTTAGTTCTGTGAATACATTTTTCTTGATAATCGGGAATTAACACAGGAAAATGGGAAAGTTTACGGTAATAACGATTTCGTTATGTTGTTATCCTAGAGGTTTGGTATTTACACACAACACTTATATTGGTCTCTTTTAGACGTAGTATAAAATATTCTAACGATTTTTGAGCTACACGCATTTGACATTTCAAATTTTCATAGTTTTTATTTGGTTTTTTGTCAATAAATTTGTTTTGGCTGAACAGGAACGTTTGAATATTTAATAGAAGGTTCATCTTAAGTTATAATTGATGATAAAAAAATGTGAAACATAAAGTGGTATTTTTTTATACGCTTTTTAAAATTAAAATTTTGATGAAAATCGTAAAAATCACGACTTTTTAAAACATGTTTAAATTAATTTTTCTCAGAATTTTATTCCATTGATTTATCGTTGTGTTAAAGTAAAAATTAAATGTATTAAATATAAATTAAATGTAAAAAAAAAAGTGTTTTTTATTTTTTTTTTTCTGTTTGTTTACAATTATTTAATTTTCAAAAATTAGTTACATTTTGCCTATATAGAGTGTTCCACAAATATAAGCCTATTATAATAATAGCTCAAAGACAATAAATATAATCAAATTCTGTTGTTTTTTTTTTATAATACTAACAAGACAAGTATAAGGACAACAGATATGTATTTTTCTAAACGTTTTGACGTATCAACTTTTTATTTTCTTTAAATTCGTGGTTGTTAATAATTTTTTAAAGTTCCGAGACAAGAGTGTACAGTCAATTAGCTATAATAATGATAGTTATTTAATGATTACAGCCTGTTACATAATAAATATTTGTATTTTTCTTTGAATCTTTATTAAAAATCATGAATTTAATGAAAATAAAAAGTTAAAACGTCAATATTTTCAGAAGAATACACTCTATAAAAAAGCTTTCTTTAATGTTTTTGAAAATAATATAACAGAAAGTTATTTTTTTATTTATTTTACCAAAACAAACATTTAATTAAAATATAAACATTTTTAGGCTTATCTCTATTATGAGTAATATAAAAAAAAAAATCGATTATCTTTATTATCTTAGGAAATATTACAATGGGTATATCTTCGTAGGATACCCTGTATATCAATACTTTGAGATAAAATATTTTAAGAATTATGAGAATTCCGAATAAAAAAACAAAAATAAATAACATTATGAATTGATTGCTACAAGACGTCAAAATGTTGAAATATTTCAATATTTTAATAAAATATATTAGTTTGTTATTATTATTATTTTTATTTTTACCTATCTACATTTTGTCATTAGTGATTGTTTTCTTCAATATTTAAAATGTATAAAGACATTTAAATTTTTTATAATGATCGAAAACATATACAATAATGTTTAAATGATATAATATCATACAGAATACATGCATTACAATAGAATTCTGCATATAGTTGTGAGCCTCTGTACTGGCTGTCGCTATAAAAACTATGCTTCATAAATGGTTTTGATTTGTCCGTAATCAGCTATAAATAAATATAATGATAAACGCCAAACAGGTATTGAATTTGTATTCATCAATTCTAAATACTTACAGTTTTGTAACAAATAAACCGTGCATGATATTCTTGTAATAAATTTAGAT